CGTCAATGACATTTTAAAGTTTCATTATTTACTTGTTTGCGCTTAATGTGGTAGTGAAGCCCATTCTGGAAACAATAAGAACACCATTTTCCAAGATGATTGATTGCTTTGCAAATGTCAGCCCTTCATGAGCATACACTGTCAAGTTTGTTACCTTTTTTAAAAGTTTGTTTGTAAAAATTTGCTACTCTTTTATGTCACATCAGGTGTAATTATGTCAAGAGTGTATGTGGGTATCTTGGCTTTAGCCAGGCGGTTCCCTTTGTTGCTTTTGATTGTATGTGTTATTCCTTCATCTTGGAACTTTAGAAAAAGTTGTTTCCCATATCAAGAACTCTTTCTAAAGTAATCGTATAGATAAAAATTATCTCTGGAAACACAGGATTTCAGAGCCCTGTAAATCCATTATGACCAGCATGCTTTCTCATCAGTCTCTTCATGTTGTCTAGTGCTGAATGTGTTAAAGAAAAATGTGGTCACATAATTTTTTCCAGCATAAAAATAACTGGATATTTTGGTCTTGCTGTCCCAAATAATTTTTATTCACTTTATGTCCAATAGCTACTAGAATAATATATACTACTTATATATTGTTTATTCCTGGTGGTTTTCCCCAGATACTCAGTGTTTCCTACACACACACACACACACACACACACACACACACACACACACAAAGTTTATTTATTTAACTTGTCTTTTATTTATAGATAGTGTTCTTTAGGTACTATAAAGTCCTATGATATATAATATGTTTGTGATAAGAATTTGTATAACTTATGAATGGCTAAAATTAGGATCTTATAGCAGATGTGGGTTTTAGTTAGGAAACGACTACCTCAAGATCACTTATACTCCCTTCTCCTTCCCCAGTGTATGGTCAGTTGTGTGAAAAATAACTTGTACTCTCAACTTTTGTTGTTTATCCAACAGTTGAAAATGACTAAAACTACTGCTTTTGTTAACCTTATACAATGCAAACCCCCATTCTTTAGTTAGATTGTGTTTTTAACAGCTTTATTGAGGTAAACTGGTAGACAGTAAACTACATATAAGATGTACAATTTTATAAATTTTGACATATGTATACACCTGTGTAACCATCACCAGAGACAAGATAATGAACATATCTATCACTCTGAAAGTTTCCTCATGATTCCTGTAACCTTTCTCTGTCAATCCTCATCCCCCACTTCTATCCCAGTTCACATTCTCTGACATTACTGAAAAGTTTTCTGTCACTATCAGTTAGATTTTTTAAATAACTTCATCTGAATGAAAACATAATATGCACTTCTCTTTATCTGGCTTGTTTCACTCAGCATTATTATTTTAGATCCAGCCTCGTTTGGTGTCCAATAATTCATTCTTTTTTATTGCTAATTAGTATGTCATTATATGGATATATCACAATTTGTTTATCTACATGTTGATGAGCATTTAGATCATGTTTAGTTTTCAGATATTACCAATTAAGCTACTATGAACATTTGTGTGCAAGTCTTTGAATGGTCAAAATGCCTTCATTCCCCTTGAGTACATACCTAGGAGTGGAATAGTTGGAATATGGTAGATTTGTGTTTTTATTTTTTAAATAAATCACCAGTCTTCCAAAGCAGGTGTATTTCTTTGCATTCCCACCTGCAGTACATGAGAGTTCCAGTTTCTCCGCATCCTCACCAGCACTTGATAAGGTCGGTCTTTTCTAATTTTAGATAAATGTATATAACATTTTATTCTATTATTTGCCTTGTCTTTAATAGTAACTTTTGAAGAACAAAAGTTCTTAATTTTGATAAAGGCCAATTTATTCATTTATTTTATGCATCACATTTTTATTATATCTAAATAACCTTTACATAACCCAAGGCCATACAAATTTTCTCCCAGGTTTTTCCTAGATGTTTTGCATTTAGATTTTCACAATTTAGAATTAGGGTTTTACATTTAGATTTAGGTTTTACAATTTAGAATTAGATTTTACATTTAGATTTATGATCAGTTTTGAATTCATTTTTATATATGGTGGAAGATATGAATCCAAGTTTGTTTTCTTTTTGACATATAGATACCCAGTTGTTCCAGCACCGTATGTTGGAACAAAACTATATTTTCTCTACCTAATTGCCTTTACCTAATTACCTTTAGAAAATTCATTGAAAATCAATTCAATGTGTTTGCGTGTGTGGTGTGCGTGTGTGTCTGTTTCTCAACTCTTTATTCTGTTCCATTGATCTATTTGTCTTTTTTGATGTCAGTACTACACTGATGATGATTATTTTATTTATAATAAGTCTTGAAGGCAGGTATTGTGATTCCTCCAAATTTTTTCTTTTTTACATTTATTTTGGCTCTTCTAAGTCCTTTATTTTTGCAGGTGAAATTTAGAATAAGATTGTCAGTTTCTTAGGGGGAGAAAAGCCCTCTGAGATTTTGGATGGGATTAGTTTGAAACTATAAATCATTTTAAGAGACATGACAGGGACTTCTGTCAAGGCGGCCGAATAGGAACAGCTCCGGAGCTCACTTCCCAGTGAGAGAGATGCAGAAGGCAAATGATCTTCATATCTCCAACTGAGGTGCCATGTTCACTTCAGTGGGACTAGTTGGACAGTGGGTGTAGCCCAAGGAGGGAGAACTGAGGCAGGGTGGGGCGCTACCCAACCCAGGAAGTGCAACTGACCGGAGGATCAGGGACTTTACCCCTCAGCACTCTGGTTCAGATACTGTGCTTCTCCCATGCCCTTTGCAACCCACAGTCCAGGAGAATGCCACAGGGCTGAAAAGCACTGTGAGTTACCAACACAGATCTAAGCCACAGCTCCGGCCAGCACAGCACCGCAAGTTGTCGGCACAGAACTGGGCAGAAGTTTTGACTAGTGTCAAGAGCGCCTGCGGGACTGATCTACTTGCCCCCCAGAAAGAGGGAGAGCTGAAAGCAGGGAGACAGGTGATTCGGCTTGGCGGTCCCGCCCCCACAAAGACCAGAAAACTGAAGCCCTCTCACTTGACAGTTTCACAGCCCGCACATCAGGTCAAGCTTGACACCAGACGATTGAGCTCAGTGGAGATAAGAGCATCTGCCATTGCAAAGGCGGGTCCAATCTCACCTGTGTAAACAAAAGCCAGGCTGAGTCTGAGACAGCCCAGACAGTGCCTCTGCAGACAGACAAGGAACAGACTGCCTCCTCAAGTGACTACCTGATCCCAGAATAACCCAAAAAAAAAAAAAAAAAAAAGCTTCATACAGCAGAGGGGCCGGACTGTTAGAAGGAAAACTAAAAAGCAAAAAGAAATAGCTTCAACATCAACAGAAAGGATGTCCATTCAGAGACACTGTCCGAAATCACCAAGTTCAAAAACCAAAGGTAGATAATTCCACGAAGATGGGAAGAAACCAGCACAAAAAGGATGAAAACATCAAAGACCAGTATGCCTCTCCTCCTCTGAGGGATCACAACTCCTCACCAACAAGGGAACAAAACAGGATGGAGAATGAGTTTGATGAATTGACAGAAGCAGGCTTCAGAAGGTGGGTAATAACAAACTTCTGTGACCTAAAGGAACATGTTCTAACCCAATGCAAAGAAACTAAAATCCTTGGAAAAAGGTTAGATGAAATGCTAACTAGAATAACCACCTTAGAGAGGAACATAAACAACTTGATGGAGCTGAAAAACACAGCATGAGAACTTCATGAAGTGTATAGAAGTTCCAATAGCTGCATCAATAAAGCAGAAGAAAGGATATCAGGGATTGAAGATCAACTCAATGATATAAAATGAGAAGGCAAGATTAAAGAAAAAAGAGTGAAAAGAAATGAACAAACCGTGCAAGAAATATGGGATTATGTGAAAAGACCTAATCTATGCTTGATCAGTGTGCCTGAATGTGACAGGGAGAATGAATCCAAGCTGGAAAACACTCTTCAGGATATCCAGGAGAACTTCTCCAGCCTAGCAAGGCAGGCCAACATTCAAATCTAGGAAATACAGAGAACACCACCAAGATACTTCTCAAGAAGAGTAATCCCAAGGCACATGATTGTCAGATTCACTAGGGTTGAAATGAAGGAAAAAGTGCTAAGGGAGTGCCAGAGAGAAAGCTCGGTCACCCACAAAGGGAAGCCCATCAGACTCACAGTGGATCTCTTGGCAGAAAGCCTACCAGCCAGAAGAGAGTGGGAGCCAATATTCAATATCCTTAAAGAAAAGAACTTTCAATCCAGAATTTCATATCCAGCCAAACTAAGCTTCATAAGCGAAGGAGAAATAAAATCATTAACGGACAAGCAATTACTGAGAGATTTCATTGCCACCAGACCTGCCTTAGAAGAGCTCCTGAAGGAAGCACTAAACATGGAATAGAACAACCAGTACCAGCCACTGCAAAAACATATCAAATGGTAAAGACCAACGATGAAATGAAGAAACTGCATCAACTAACACACAAAACAACCAGCCAGTAACAAAATGGCAGAATCAGATTCACACATAGCAATATTAACATTAAATGTAAATTGCCTAAATGCTCCAATCGAAAGACACAGACTGGCAAACTGGATTAAAAAGTAAGGACCCATCAGTGTGCTGTATTCAGGAGACCCGTCTCATATGCAAAAGACACACATAGACTTAAAATAAAGGTATGGAAAAAGATTTACCATGCAAATGGAGAGCAAAAAAAATGTAGGGGTTGTAATCCTACTCTCTGATAAAACAGACTTTAAACCCACAAAGATTAAAAGAGACAAAGCAGGGCATTACATAATGGTAAAAAGATCAATGCAACAAGAAGAGCTAACTATCCTAAATATATATGCACCTAACACAGGAGCATCCAGATACATAAAGCAAGTTCTTAATGACCTACAAAGAGACTTAGTATCCCACACAGGAATAGTCCACTGTCAATATCAGACAGATCAACAAGACAGAAAATCAACAAGGATATACAGGACTTGAACGAAGATCTGGACCAAACAGGCCTAACAGACATCTGCAGAACCCTCCACCCCAAATCCACAGAATATACATTCTTCTCAGCACCACATCACACCTCCTTTAAAATTGACCACATAATTGGAAGAAAATTACTCTTCAGCAAATGCAAAAGAAAGGAAATCCTAACAGTCTCTCAGACCACAGTGTAATCAAATTAAAACTCAGGATTAAGAAACTCACTCAAAACCACACAACTACGTGAAAACTGAATAACTGGCTCCTGAACGATGACTGGGTAAACAAATGGAGACAGAAATAAAGATGTTCTTCAAAACCAATGAGAATGAATACATAACATACCAAAATCTCTGGAACACATTTAAAGCAGTGTCCAGAGGGAAATTTATAGCAATAAATGCCCACATGAGAAGTGAGGAAAGACCTGAAATCAACACCCTATCATCAAAATTGAAAGAGCTAGAGGAGCAACATTAAAAACAAACAAACAAACAAACAAAACTCAAATGCTAGCAGAAGACAAGAAATAACTTAAGATCAGAGCAGAACTGAAGGAGATACAGACACAAAAAACGCTTCAAAAAAATAAAAAAATCCAGGAGCTGGTTTTTTGGAAAGATCAACAAAATAGCCAGATTAATAAAAAAGAAAAGAGAGAAGAATCAAATCCATGCAATATAAAACAATAAAGGGGATACCACTGATTCCACAGAAATACAAGCTATCATCAAAGATTACTAGAAACAAATCCATGCATATAAACCAGTAAATGGAAGAAATGGATAAATTCTTGGACATTCGTACCCTCCCAAGCCTAAACCAGGAAGAAGTAGAAACCCTGAATAGACCAGTAACAAGACCTGCAATTGAGGCCACAATTAATAGCATACCAACCAAAAAAGGTCCAGATCCAGACGGATCTACAGCCAAATTGTACCAGCCATACAATGAGGAGCTGGTGCCATTCCTTCTGAAACTATTCAAAACAATACAAAAAGAGGGAATCCTCCCCAACTCATTTTATGAGACCAACATGATCCTTATACCAAAACCTGGCAGAGACACAACTAAAAAAGAAATCTTCAGGCCAGTATCCCTGATGAACATCGATGCAAAAATCTCCAATGATATACTGGCAAACCAGTGGCAACAGTACATCAAAAAGCTTACCCATCACGATCAGGTACGCTTCATCCCAAAGATGCAAGGCTGGTTCAATATATGCAAATCTGTAAACGTAATTCATAAATAAACAGAACCAAAGACAAAAAACACATAATTATCTCAATAGATGCAGAGAAGGCCTTCAACAAAATTCAACAGCCCTTTATGCTAAAAACTCTCAATAAACTATGTATGGATGGAACATCTCTCAAATTAATAAAAGCTATTTATGACTGACCCACAGCAAATATCATACTGAGTGGGCAAAACAGGAAACATTCCCTGCGAAATCTGGCACTAGACAAGGATGCCCTCTCACCACTCTTACTCAATATAGTATTGGAAGTTCTAGCCAGAGCAATCAGGCAAGAAAAATCAATAAAGGGTATTCAGTTAGGAAAGGAGGAAGTCAAATTGTCTCTATTTGCAGATGACATGATTGTATTTTTAGAAGACCCCATCATCTCAGCCCAAAATCTTCTGAAACCGATAAGCAACTTCAGCAAAGTCTCAGCATACAAAATCAATGTGCACAAATCACAAGCATTTCTATACACCAATAACAGACAGAGAGCCAAATCATGAGGAAACTCCCATTTGCAATTGCTACAAAGAGAATAAAATACCGAGGAATACAACTAATAAGGGATGTGAAGGACATCTTCAAGGAGAACTACAAACCACTGCTCAAGGAAATGAGAGGACACAAACAGATGGAAAAACATTCCATGCTCATGGTTAGGAAGAATCAATATTGTGAAAATGACCTTACTGCCCAAAGTAATTTATGGATTCAACACTATCCCCATCAAGCTACCATTGACCTTCTTCACAGAACTGGAAAAAAAACACTTTAAACTTGATATGGAACCAAAAGAGAGCCTTCATAGCCAAGACAATTCTAAGCAAAACGAATAAAGCTGAAGGTGTCATGCTACCTAACTTGAAACTATACTACAAGGCTACAGTAATCAAAACAGCTTGATACTGGTACCAAAACAGAGATACAGACTAATAGAACAGAACAGAGGCCTTGGAAGCAACACCACACATCTACAACCATCTGATCTTTGATAAACCTGACAAAAACAAGCAATGGGGAAAAGATTCCCTGTTTAATAAATGGTATTGGGAAAACTGGCTAGTCATGTGCAGAAAGCTGGACCCCTTCCTTACACCTTACACTAAAATTAACTCCAGATGGATTAAAGACTTAAACATAAGACCTAACACTATAAAAAGCCTAGAAGAAAACCTAGGCAGTACTATTCAGGACATAGGCATAGGCAAGGACTTCATGAGTGAAACACCAAAAGCATTGGCAACAAAAGCCAAAATAGACAAATGGGATCTAATTAAACTTAAGAGTTTATGCACAGCAAAAGAATCATTAGAGTGAACCAGCAACCAACAGAATGGGAAAAAAAATTTTGCAATCTACTCATCTGACAAAGGGCTAATATCCGGAATCTACAAATAACTAAAACAGATTTGCAGGAAAGAAACAAACATACCTATTCAAAAGTGGGCGAAGGGTATGAACAGACGCTTTTCAAAAGAAGACATTTATGAGGCCAAGAAACATGAAAAAATGCTCATCATCACTGGTCATTAGAGAAATGAAAATCAAACCACATTGAGATACCATTTCACACCAGTTAGAATGGCGATCATTAAAAAATCTGCAGGCAACAGATGCTGGAGAGGATGTGGAGAAATAGCAACACTTTTACACTGTTGGTGGGAGTGTAAATTAATTCAGCCATTGTGGAAGACAGCGTGGTGATTCCTCAAGGACCTAGAAATAGAAATTCCATTTGACCCAGCAATACTGGGTCTGTACCCAAAGTCTATACCAATACTAGGTCTATACCCAAAGGATTATAAATCCTTCTATTTTAAAGACACATGCACACATATATTCATTGCAGCACTGTTTACAATAGCAAAGACCTGGAACCAACCCAAATGCCCACCAGTGATAGACCAGACAAAGAAAATGTGG